CTTGCAGTGCAAATCTTGTCTCAGTATATGGAGAAACTGAGCATCAGTACTTGATTACTGAATGATGATGCCTTTTTTAGGGTATTTTTTTCTGTGGATTTGTTGGGGGTTTTTTTGTTTTGTTTTGTTTCTTAAAGTGGATAATACCTGAAGTAATTGAAGCTTTTTATCAGAGGAGAAACTACGGAGAAAATGAAATTACTAGAATGCAGTATAACATCTCCTTTCACCCTTGAAGCTGAGCAGCATAATGCCTCTTGAGAAAGCACACTGAGAGGAATTCTTTCTCTTTTCTATCATTTTATTTGTTGCCTTCTGTATCCTTAGAAGCCATGGTATACATAAGGGAATGTAAGCAGGAAGACTTTGTTTATATCTGCCACTGGTATAGGAGAGAACTTGTGTGAATGCTGTAAGATCAGTGGTCCATAGTTTAATGGTGTCTGCCTGGGCTCCTTTTTGTTGTTTCTTGAAAACACAAACAAATGTGAATTTCAGAAAAACTGCAGAAATTCTTCCTTGGTTCTATGAAATGTTTAGAAATGCTGATGCAAATCCCAGTGCGTGACTTGGTAATTCTCTGGGAGCAAAAGGATATTTTTAAATGCACTTTTGCAATGGTTGTTGCAAATCCTACAGGACTATAGCCTTTAAATCCAGGGTGCTAGAAGCTGCCCAGCATATGGTGTCATAAGTAATCACAATCTTTAATCTGTGCAGACCATACACTTAACTTCCCAAACTGGTGAATCGAATGCAGATAGTCAGAAATGCGCAAGTGAAATTTCTTCTAAGTAAAAGCAGAAAGCCTTTTGAAGGACAGGGAAAGCTTAACTATTGTGGAATTTGTAAGTAGATGACTTTTTGGATTAATTGAGTAACTTTTCTGTTTATCTCCCCTGTTTAGCCTTGAACTGAGAGTCCCATTTTTGGATCATCGGTTTACTTCTTATTATTTATCTCTGCCAGCAGAACTACGAATCCCAAAGGTATGTAAAACTAGGGTTGGACCCAAGCGTAAGCTTATAAATTCACTGACACGTGTTCTAGGTGTGATCAAATTGCTGAATTCAATTATTAAGTCCTCTACCCAAAGTCAAGCATGCTCTTAAATATTTTGCTGGGGTTTTGGACTACTGGGAACACTTTTCTGACCAGACCTTCTGAAGGGAATCCATTTCATAAGTGTTTAAAACCAGGTCTTTATACTGCAGTTCCTGAGACACATTGTTTATTGTTCTGCAAACAGAATGGAATTGAAAAATACCTTTTAAGGCTGTCCTTTGAAGATTCCAATTTACTTCCCAAAGAAATACTCTGGAGACCCAAAGAAGCTTTCAGTGATGGTATAGCATCAGTAAAGAAATCCTGGTTTTCTATTCTTCAGGACTATATTGATCAACAGGTACAATACCACTTTTTTTTTTCTTTCTTTCTTATTTAGGTGTATTAGATGTGGTTGCTAAGGGGAAGCAGCCCAGAACATGCTTAGTTGAGAGAATAAATCTGGGCATAACAGTTAACTTGAGCTTCATGGTGGAGGAGCAAGATGAACCTCAATCAATGCTCTTCTAGGTATCTGAGTTGGTTAAAGGCATTTGAAATCCTGGTTACAAAGAAATGCTAGAGCCTGACAGAAATGATGGTGTAAGGAAATGAACATCTTTTAAGTGTCTGGATTGCAAATTAGATTGTGTGTCAACAAACACAATTTCTGGGTTACAGGCAAAGCAGCTGCTTCAGCTGAAGGCACTTGCATGAACTTACTCTGCAGCTGAGTAACAACATAATGACTTTATAATGTACTTTCTTGTTTGCGTCATTCCTTTTTCAAAGCCGTCCCTAGCTAAGCCCTTTCGCTTTTTAAAGTCTCTGCTTGCATTGCTAGCCAGTGAATACTTAGAGCATTTTGGCTCTGGACAAAGGGTAATCAGCTCTGGACTACAGAGGTGGTTTAATCATCAAGAGGAAGGAATAACACCCAATTTACAGCAGAGCTCTGTTACACCTGTGGGTGGGTGCTTGTCTGTCCCACCACCAAGTGTTGGTTTTCCATTTTCTTTCTCTATATCCATAGGTAAGAAAAGAGTTGAGTCAGGCAACAGTGTTGTTCTGCATGTTCTGAGCCTGTATTGTTGTAGTAGGAGCAATTTCCTTCATGGCTATGAAAAGTTAGATATGATGTTGGCAGTGGAAGCTGCTTTAGAAATTGCCTCAACTGCTGCAACTGTTCATCCTGCCTTTCTTAACCAACTTAGCAACTGCAGGTGTCTTTGTGTCCCAGGTCTTTTGTTGCTAAGACTTTGGTTATACAAACAGTGAACAGTTCTGTGACCTGAAAAAAAACCAAAACCCCAGGAAGTCACTTACGTGGCAAAATGACTGCTTTAAGTTTTTCTGCTTGATTCACAGCAAAGGGGAGGATAGGAAACAAGTTTTTGTGAGCTTACTAGCAAAGGTGGTTGTAACCCAGGGAAATGGGCTTCACATATCATGCAGAGAGAAATATCAACAGCGCTGGAAATACATTTATGTATTCAATAAAGATCAAATGAGCCTATGACAAAACTTTGACCTGTCAAACCTCTGCCTCTAGATTAGATGTTTCTTTTTTTTAAACCTGTGGGCATTTAGTGGTTGGTAAATCCTTGTATCTCTTGAAAAGTTAAATGTATTTGCAGCTTAACTTGAGTTTTGCTTATGTCTGTAGGTGGATGACCTTTTGCTGGAAAAGGCAGCGGAGAAATATCCTTTCAATCCTCCTAAAACAAAAGAAAGTTATTACTACCGCCAGATCTTTGAAAAACACTTCTCAGGGCGAAGCAGCTGGCTGCCCCACTACTGGATGCCAAGATGGGTTAAAGCTACTGATCCTTCTGCACGCACATTGAAACATTACAAGTCGGCTACCCAAGAGTAGGCTGTTGAAATAACCCCCCGAATAAAATGCTGCAAGCGGTTTTGTGTGCACTCTGTTTTAAAAAACCCAAACCAATTATGAAAACCTAAAGCTTAAATCGTCTTTAAGCTATATTTTGACAATGTTGTTGGAAGTGAGAGCTTTCTGTGATTAGTGTACTATTAAAAATCTACTCTGCTGTATCAAAACTTTGTAATTCAAAGGAAAATATTTCATGGATGAGAAATGACCTTATTGACAGCTCTGTTCCTTATGTGACCTTGATTGTATTCATTTGCCTTGAAGTCATTAAATATATTTTAATGTGAGCTCTGTTTTGGGGACCTGAGGCAGGCTAAGGGATGCAAACTGCTGCTGGCCCTCTGAGCAAAGGGGAGTTTGACCCTAGCTGTTTAGTGATTTGTGTTCCTGGCTGTGGGACTTGGGTAGTCTCCATATTACTCTATTCTGAATGTCTTTCTGCACACTCCTGAGAACCTTGGTCTAGTTTTCAAAAAAATATTTAGATATTCATAGCTATGCAGAGATGCTTACTCGAGTTTATAATAGGGGTGGTGCTGGGTGTTACTTCATTAAATGAGTGGGAACCTTACTTGTTACTGTGAAGCCACCAGTTGGCTGATTTGAGTCTTGTAAATACACCATCTGGCTAAAGATACTATGACTGTTAGCAAAGAGCAGAATGGACAAGAGAAGCCCAGTTATGTCTTTGTTTCCAACTCAAGGACTTCCATTTTTAAACGTATTTGTTATTTTTGAAAAAATAGAACGTTAACCGAGTGATGTGTATCACTCTGATGGAAATTGCATGAGTAAGTATTTTAAGAAATTTTTCAATTGTGAGAATTTTTCCACCTGTTTGATGAAAGGATGGACTGTGTTGCTGCTGAACTGCATGTGGCCAGCTGTGTGGTGAGCCAACCCTGTTAACCATAGATTTTAGTCAGAGCATCACTGATGACAATGGGATCAAATGCCTTGCTTGGAAAAATGGGGAAAAAAGCTTCAGAAACCACAGGAACTTCTAATACTCTACTGAAACCCATGTTAATTTTTACCCAGGACAACTTTTTATTAACTGAGTCATGGGGGCTGCTTTTTTAAAGGTGTTGTAAACATAAGGGAATACATGTGTGTACTGCAGATTGACTTGATCAGCATCATTCTCTTTATGAAGACAGAATTCTGCTTTATTGTTCCTCTTGACTAGGAAACCAAAGCCATTTTTTATTTAAAAGAAAAAATAAAAGCTATTCTGATGTAAAATCTTCATAAAATGACTGATTGTCTATTTGTTACTCCACCCTAATCCTTCATTTCAGTCTGTTCAAGAAACTTTACTGAAACCTTTCAGTGACAGCAGAGAGCTCATGAACTGTCCAGCTATGGGCAATAGTGGCAATATTTTGACATAAATTTTCACATACTAGTTATTTATGATGAGTAAGGTCATCTACTCCTCCAGCTGTCTACATAAGGGCCATGTGCTTGTCCTTTTGGATTTCTTTGAAGCAGTAAAGTGTATTTTGAGTTGAGAGAGGAGTATAGAGTATGTTGATTAGTTAACTGATAAGATTTACTACTCACTGTAAACTTCCCAAGGCTGAGAGAAGAAAATAGCATTTACCTGAAGTGGAAATAGACTAAATACATATCGGGGTCATTGCTCAAATGCACTTTCTGCTGCAACGTTATCAGGCATTCAAGGAAATCCACCTAATATTTTTAAAAATTCCTAATACATTGGGCATTTACATATAAGGCAATATTAGACTGGTGATGTAGTTATTTTAGCTTTTTACTGATGTGCAGAGGAAGAATACGGAGTTCACTGCCTTATTGTTGTTAAAGGTATAAATGCTAGGAGTCTCAGGAGTGTAAAACCACTCTATACTTTCTCCTTTATTTTCCTTACCAAAAAACCCAAAACCAAACAAAAACACCCCCCACAAAACAAAAAAACCAAACCCAAAATAATTCAAGGCAAAAATATCCAGCTCCTGTGGATCATCTACCAGCTGCAGACGTGTTTGTAGTTTGTAACAGGAGGAAATGGGATACAGGTCCAGTGTGCCTTGTCCAGTTTTACCCTTTATTTTTTTTCATACTGTGGTTGCCTCTTTTTCTCACTCCATTTCTTTTGGGTAAAATTAAGCTGAACTATTCTGATAGCTCGAGTATGTTGGTTTGAATACTGTGTCAGAGGTGGGGATGGGGAATTAAAGTCAGTGGTCAATGAATGTTATAATTTTATTCAGATTCAGAGTTAATATCAGTCAAGGCTGTTGTTTTTCTCCACTCAGAACTGAGGTAAAATATGGTAAACTGTAGCTTAAATTAAAAAATTACACTGAGACTTTGGAGGGGTGGCCTTAGTATTTTGTTCTGGTTCCTATTAATAAATGAGAAAGTGTGGTAGGAGGATTTAATAGAAGGTTAGCCTGTGTTTGAGGTGGCTATTGAAAGGTCTCCCTGCAGGAGAGGCTGCTTATTTCTGTAGCGAGGTGCACTGTGTGGTCCTCAGCTTCTTTCCCAGTGATAGCCAATGCACATACATCACCTGCACCATGCCTGTCATGGCCCCTCGTTTTGGAATTTCAGGGTCTATTGGGGTTTTTATTTCCATATCCCCATAGACATTATGGTTGACAGAAAGGCTGCAGCTAGGAAAGCCTTAGAAAATCTGGATGCAGGTAATGTGCAAAATTCTAATTATTTTTATTTAAATTTCATATTTTAAATTTATTTTAACTTAAAACAGTGATTTTTAAATTATTTTTTTTAAAAATTTACAAAGCTTGAAGAAGCAGAGAAGGGACTCAGGAGACTGAAGCAGAGAGGTGGTCTATGCTGCTGTGGTACCCTGCAAGTTGGTAGGGGTAGTAGCTAGGGGAGGTGGTATGTTAGCTGCTTTCCAAGATCTGTTTGTGCTGTTTCACCCAACTGTCTCTGTAGTGCCACTTTCCATCTCTTTTGTTGCCTAAAAACTCTTCCAATAAGAGAAAACTAGCTGGGCAACTAGTTTTTTACAGCACTGTGTGCTTAGGTTTGGATCTTTCAGGCATCCCATGAGCTACAGCAAAAGATGTCCACAGTACCCTGGAGTCCATCTGACCTTCATGTTACCCCCATATGAACAGGGTGGGGCAGGCACATTTCCTGCGGCGTGGTACAACGAGTTTGTCAAAATTTGAATTCGGATCAAGAGGTTGCTTCAGGGATGATTTCTTAATTTGTTCTTTTTGTAGCCGGCAGGTGGCAGCCGCTGTTAGCGCGTCCGTGCAGAGTTGCTCTTCATCCTTGGGGAAGACTGCTCTCCATCCTGCCCGCCTGCTTTTAGTCTCTTCTGCCACACACGCCTGTCACTGGGATTTGTGCATGAGCCTCGTGGAATTTAATAAATACTTGATTAGAATAGGGTTAAAGCCAAGCATAAAACAAAAATGTCTTTTTTTTAAACTGATCTTGCTCACAAGATACTGTGCAGAGCTTCTCATGCTGGTGCTGCAGGTAAGAAAGCAGCTAAGAGTTGAATTGCATTAGTATTGAAGGCATTCAATATTCAATTTGGAGGTAATTCAAAGCCAGTTATGTTAGAAATTAGTAATGTGAGTTGGAACAGGTACACTATGTCAGTTCTAGGGAAGATGGAAGATAATACTAGGCTAGGGAATAAGCAATGTTAATTTTACCCCTGAAGTTGTTAGGCACTTTTTTTCCCCCTATTTTCTTCATGACTAACGTGTGGATCACAAGATTTCAGATAGTCACACAGAAAGAACACTATGATAGAATCATAGAAAGATTTGGGTTGGAAGGGACCTTAAAGATCATCTAGGTCCAACCCCCCCTGCCACAGGAGAGACACCTTCCACTCAACTAGGTTGCTCAAAGTCCCATCCAACTTGGCCCAAGGGATGGAGCATCCACAGCTTCTCTGGACAACACATTCCAGTGTCTCACCACCCTCCCAGTGAAGAATTTCTTCCTTTGATCTAAATCTACCCTCTCCCAGTTTAAAGACATTACCCCTTGTCCTATCACTGAATGTCCCAGTAAAATGTCCCTCTCTGACTTTCTTGTTGGCCTCCTTTGGGTAGTAGAAGGTGCTATAAGGTCTCCCTGGAGCCTTCTCTTTTCCAGGCTGAACAACCCTAACTCTCTGCCTTCATAGAAGAGTTGCTCCAGCTCTCTGATAATGTTCGTGGCCTCCTCCGGACTCTCTCCAACCAGTCCATATCCTTATGTTGTGGGCCCCAGAGCTGGATGCAGGACTCCAGGTGGGCTCTCCCCAGAGTGGAGTAGAAGGGCAGAATCACCTCCTTTGACCTGCTGGCCACACTGGTTTTAGTGCAGCCCAGGATGCCATTGGCTTTCTGGGCTGTGAGTGCACATTGCCTGGTCATGTTGAGCTTCGTATCCACTAACACCTCCAAGTCTTTCTCCCCAGGGCTGTTCTCAATCCATTCTCTGCCCTGCCTGTATTTGTGCAGGACCTTGCACTTGGACTTTTTGAACTTCATGAAGTTCACATGGAGCTACCTCTCTAGTCTACTAGAAAGTTTTGTAGATACACATCAGGAAGACTTCAGGTGTTTTAGGCTTTTTTTAAATTCTCAAAATAATTATTAAAAAAAATACATATGCATTATAAAATGCAGTGCATCATAAAAATTTGGAAATGTTTCCTATTTATGTACATGGTCAATCCAGTTGTTGTGTGACCTCTGTGTGATGATGAACAGCAGCAGACTGCATATACCTGAGAATTTAGACTTGAACCCTGTCAGGAAAAAAACATCCCCCAGTGACAGGTGGTGTAATGGCAAAGTAGAGCTGCCTGTCCCATCTGACACCATGGACTTTTGGGCTCACTCTGAGAGAGGTCTTCTGCCTTTTTTTTTTTTTTTGTGGTACAGGATGTTTCATTGATGAATTTTCACTGAGGAGAAGATAGAATAATTGGGTACAAAATGGTCCTTTAGAAAATTATATTCCTGGGTGCAAAAAATTATTGGAGCTGACCTCAATTCCTTCATCATAATGATCTTCAGAAGCCAAGAGGAGAGTCAGAATGATCTGGTTGCAAAAGCAGCCTCCATTTCTGCTACTTTTGAGGATAGAAGTAGTTGTCTATATTAATAAACTGTATCACTTAATGTCTCTCACCACTGCTCCTGAAGACTGCCTTTAACACCTGGGGCAAAATG